CATATTGCATCAAACCATTGTGATGTTGATGTCTATCTTGGTGTGCCTAATGGTGCAGTTATTCAAGGCCCCCAAGAACAGCCTATAATTCCCTGGATTATCTTTGTTCCCCTTTTAAAAGAAAGGTACTATGTTTTTTGTTCTTCAGTCCTCTGGGACTTTATTTGTCTGAAAACTGAAGCAAAACTGGCACCAAACACTTCAGTTTTCTTCTTTTTATCAATTATTAGCTTTCGTTCATTCTACTAGAGAACTTACATCTTCCTCTTACTCTTAATGTATTTAATTATCATTCAATTGATAACAAATACATAGTACCCATTTTGACATAGTATCCAGTAGGGTCCAGCTCCCCAGGAGCAATAGATCCACCTCCTTTTCCCCCCCCTGCTGCCTCTGATAGAGAGGCAGCAGCGCAGAGGGTGAGAGGGACAGGCTGGAGCTAATACACGCGAGGAGGTGGTTTCAAGCCAGCTTCCCATGTGTATTGGCTCCTGCAGACCCCCACCACGCCCTTGCTTCCTCTTTATTCATCAGTAATCTTAGCAGTTACGATTATTTGACAGTCCCTGGGGAGCCCCCGTCACTCTGCGCTGCTACCTCTGGGCCTTCTGTGGACAGAGGCTGCTCCACAGCACCCTTCCTTGCCCTCCCCCTGTGCTGCTGCCTCTCATGGGGAGCCGGCTTTTACATTTGGAATGGCTGCCATGTGAGGAGAGATTAATAAGACTGGGGCTCCTTAGCTTGGAAAAGAGATGACTTAGGGTATGTCTATACAGCAACATTATTTCGAAATAAATTCATCCACATCTACACAGCAAGCAGTTATTTCGAACTAATGTTGAAATACTGTCAAGCTGGAGGTCTTCTTACTCAAACTCCTATAACCCTCATTGTACCCGAAGTAAGAAAAGTCAGAGGAAGAGTGCTCTATTTCAAAATAAGTGCTATGTATATGCTCCCAGTTTCAAAATAAGCTATTTAAAATAAGCTATGCAACTGACGTAGCTCAATTTGCCTGGCTTATTTCGAGTTAAGCCCTCCTGTGTAGACACACCCTAAGGCAGTGGTCTCCACCCTTTTTACACACAAGATCACTTTTTAAATCTCCGAACAGGCAAAGATCTACCACCCTGCCCCTTCCTTGAAGCCCCGCCCCTTCCTATTCTCCTCCTGTCCATCACTTGCTATCCCCAGCCCTTACTTACACACTCTGATAAACAGTTTATTTTTAAATTATGTGACGTATAAAATTAAAATCACGTGTTTATAGTTATGAAATAAATGGTCTGTTTTTTATTCATGCTATTTAAATCTAAAATGAAGCCTTTATAATTATACATTTTGTGGGGACAGAGTACTGAGGCGGGGGCCAGGGAAGAGGGAACAGGGTGCTGGGAGGGCAGAGGACAGGGTTCTGCAGCAGGGGACAGAGTGCCAGTGGGGACAGGAATAGGGACAGAGTTCTGTGGCTGGGGACAGGGGAGTGGGGACAGAGTTCGGGGAGTGGGGAACAGAATTCTGTGGCTGGGGACAGGGGAGTGGGGACAGAGTTTGGGGAGTGGGAATATGGGAGTGGGGAGAGAGTTCTGTGGCTGAGGAGTGGGGTGCCAGTGGAGGCAGAGAGTCCCTTGTATCTGCCTCCTCCCAGGATTCCCGCCCCCCAGAGGGAAACCAGCGCATGCCTGCCCCGGGGCCGACCCCCTGGCGTAGGAAAACCCCATGCGCGCACCTGCCCTGGAGGCTGAAACCCCTTCCCCCGGTGCAGGGAAGCCCCATGCGCGCCTGCCCCAGGGGCTGACCCTCAGCGCAGGAAAGCTAATTTTCCTTACTCACAAAGAATTCCTAGATGACTCCTTATACAGAGGATACAATTGCATTTTATAGTACACAGTTACTAAAATCTACAAATGTACCTCAGATGTGCAATGGGGAGGAAATATTCATTTTAAAAGATCTATTTACACAGAGAACTATTATTTATACATAATTCTTTTTTCTACACACAGGACCAATGATCTAATTTCTAATTCTCAAACACTCCACCATTTTGCACAGTATTCGCTCAGATTTTTTTTTTTTAAACCAGAGTAGAAAGTAAAGTCATCACTGAGTATATACTATATCCCACTGGTGTATTTTATCATTCATTACCTTACAACATGAACACTATTCATCACACACATATTCCATATAAGGTTAATGACAAGTCCATAAACTTTTAAATTAAACATCCACACTACCAAATAAATAGATCCATAAAAAAATGACATTTACAGCAATTCTGACAATTACTGAAGAAATCCAGGAAACTCTCCCTACAACAAACCCTGTTGCCAACACATCTATCAAGTGACACCATCACAGGACCTATGCACATAATCCACACTATTAGGGGCTCATCCACCTGCATAGCTACTAATGTGATATATGCCATCAAGTGTCAACCATATCGCTTTGCCCCATATATTGGCCAAATTGGACAATCTTTCTACGCCAAAGAATAAATGGAAATAAATCA